CCCAAGTTCTCCCTTGCTCTGGCTCCCTTTCCCCGTGACCGCCAGACCTGCAGCCATAGCCTCGTTGTCCTTCGATTGCTGGAGGCTGCTGGTTTGGGCCGCTGCATCATTTCTGCTCTGCGGGGCGTCAAGGCGAAAGCGGTTTCTTCTTCAGACTTCTGGGCCAGCAGACACACACACCGCTCACGCTGGAGCATCAGGCGGCTTGCAGGGCGTCTTACGCACTGTGGTTTTGTGCCTGCCAGTGGTAGTGTCCCCGGCTGGCCTACATCCATTGTCCTGATACGCGCGGTGACCCTGCTGTGAGGTATAATCTCAGAGAGCCCAGGAAGAGGAGAGAGGAGGAGTGGCTGAGAACAATGACTTTGCTGGTGATAACATTTCCTGAGAGCCCGCTACGTGCTATGCTAACAGTGGCGGTATTAGTTCCACTAATACTCTAGAGCTCAGTGTTTTATTTACACGAATTGTCCCATCAAATTCTCAAAATAACACCATCCAGTTGGTATTTTCGTTCCCATGCTGGTCGCTTTCAGCATGGAGAACAGTGCCTGGCAAATGGAAGAACTCGGTCCTCACTGTTATATCTTGAATGGGTCTCCCCTTTCATGGGAACCAGAGGGGTTAGGTACTGCCTTCAGGTCACACAGTGAGGGCAGACTTTAACCCAGGGGATCTGAGTCTAGAGTTTGTTCCCTCCACCACTGTGCAGTACTGTCTTCTGTTGACGAGAGGCTAAATGAGAGGGAAGTCTTAGTAGGACGAGCCCTAAATGTCCAGGCAAGGCCTGGATTTTAGTCCCAGCTTTGCCACTTATTAGCTTTTAGCAAATCCCTTAGCTTTCGATGACAGACACTGTTCATTGGCCGATCCCCTTCTGCCTGGCCACCCCTACTTACAGAGGGTGAATTGTGTCTCCCCCATTCATATGTTGAATTCCCCCGGATGGACTCATCTGGAAATCTAGTCTTTACAGAGGAAATCAAGTTGAGATGAGGTCATTAGGGTGAGGCGTCTTCCAATATGACTGATGTCCTTATAAAAAGGGGGAGTTTGGACACAGAGACATGCAGAGAGGGACAATGAAGTGAGACACAGGGCGAAGACAGCCATTTATAAGCCAAGGAGAGACGCCCAGAGCTCCCCGCACAGCCCCCAGAGAGAAGCAACTCTGCTGACACCTGGTCTTGCACCTCCCAGCTCCGGAGCTGGGGGACAGCACACGTGTGCTGTGTGAGCTCCGCGTCTGGGGCATGCTGTTGCCTGCAGCAGCCCTAGCACATGATCCAGGCAGGAAAAGAGCCTCACAGATTGCCTTGCAGCTAGAGCTGACCCTGTGACCCGCTGATGAACCGAGAGCGGAAAGGATGCCAGGAGGGCTTCTGGGGGGTGTTTGCTTCCTGGGGAAAGAGGCTGATGTCACTGGCGCAACCCCTTCCCTCCTCCTGCCGTGACTGTGGAGGTGATAGCTGGGTCATTTTTTGATTGAAAGAGAAAGTGCAAGAGAATGGCAGAGACGCCAGCCTTGCCACCATTGCCCAAGCCAAGGGCACATAGCCACCCACTTCTAGGAAAAAAAACAACAACAAAACCCTTCCTTCCTTAAACCACATGGGGCAGGCCAACTGTTGCTTGCAGCTGAACAAATTCCTGCTACACTCCGGAACCAGCTTTGTCTTCGACAGGGTGAGGATGATCAGATTCACAGGGCTATTGAACAGACGAAATGAGAATCTCCGTAAAATGGGGCTGCGAATGGTAAAACACCATGTAACTCTGAGTTATTGTCACAATAAACAAAAACCTCCCCAAAGCTATCGTTTCCGTTTAGAGCTTATTCCCAACCCCTGACTCGCAAAGCCCTGTGTCGGTTCCCCCACCAAGGAGCCAGATGGGCTGGAAGACGCTCCGTTTCCAGTCTGTTAGCGTGATTACTGTTCAAAGCTGGAGAGAGGCCTAGAGGTCCTTTGGTTCAAATGCCTTATTTTATGGAAGAGGAAACGGGGGCCCAGAGAGCCTGAGTGACTTGACCAAGGTCACGGAGCAAGCCCTTGGCAGACTCAGGCCTTGAATCCAGGTGTCTTTGGAACTCAGAGCTGGGCTCCTCCCTTAGGTAAACCAGGTGGACTCAGAGACTTGTGAGAGTCTATATCTAAGGATCAATTGGTTAAAAATTGGTTCAAACCAATTTTTTGATTTAGGACCTGCATGAAGCCATCCTATCGTGCGCCAGGCAGTGTGCAAGCACTTTACTGAGAAGGGGGTAAGATTAAGCCACTTTTCCTAGATTACCCGGTTAATCAGTAGGTGATGGCAACTTTCTCCTGACCACAAGCTAAAAGACTTGCAGTTCAGCTTAACTCAGGTCAATGAGTCTCCGATTCTGGCCGCCTTGCTGGGCATCAGGGCTAGAGCAGTGAAGAGACAGTGGCCCTGCCCTCGGGGAGCTAACAGCTGAGAGGAGAAGCATCACCAAGCGGCTGTGTGGTGCAGTGGTTACGGGCACATGTGCTGGAACCAGGCAGGCTGGGCTTGAGTCCTGGCTCCGCCACTTACTGGTTGTGTGACTTTGGGCAAAGTACTTCATCTCTGTGTGCCTTGATTTTTTCATCTGTAAAATAGGGATAATAGTAAGACCTCCCTCATAGATTGTTATAGGGATTAAAGTGGTTGATACATGCCAACTGTTGAGGACACCACACATTTTGGCTATTATTATTGTTAGTTTATTCACTCTGAACCTATGTATTCCTCTACCCAACCTGTCTTATCTCCAAGAGTTCATTCCCTAGGCCTGTGTGTTTCAGAGTTGGTTTGGTCATCTTGGATGGGGGACAGTCTCTCCACCCTATTCAACTGGGCTTTATTGGACAGCTCTAGGGAGTGAGGACACTAGAGGTTGTCATCTACTTTTGGCAGAGTAGAAAGAGGGTGGTCTTAAAATTGAGGAGTCTGTGCCCTCCTAGTGCTGGAGGTGCTGGGCTTTGGGCAAGCCCCAGCCCTTCCTCCCACTTAGCTCTTCAGCAAGAAAATGATCTGTGGCAGCGTGTTCACAGCAGCCCACCTATTTGTAGGGCTGTTAGCCTGAGACGGCCAAGAATCTGGAAGCTCTGAAGGAGACTGGCACCACAATGCTGGAACCCTCTACGATTCCAGGGAGGTAACGCACGCCAAGGGCTCGTCACATAATGATACCACTCTCCCTCCTCTTTTCCTGAATCAAGGGGGTTCTTAGGCACTATCTCATTTGCATTTATATATTAAACTTTTATATATATTTATATGGCACTATGGCTCTGGGAAGTTGATATTAGCATCCTTTTTCCTCTTTCCTCTAATAATGCATCTGAACATCACAGACTTTAAGTCAATGATTTGAACCCAATTCAAAGCCTTGGTGCACAATTGCTCCACTGGACCTCTCGGTTCCTGCAGGTCTCTGCTTTTGGCTTCTGCTGGGCTGCAAAGCCAGGTATTATTAGAGCATCATAATTAATACCTTTTATGTATATGCACATGCATGTATTTCTATCCATCAACACAATTAATGAGCCCTTGAGGGGGTGTGTGTGGATGGCATGCCCTTTATTCCCTAGGAGCCATGCCATGCAGAAATGTCACCAGGACACCACGTTTCAATGTCTTTGCAAAGGACTAGGCCACAGCCTCATTGGAGGTGATTTTTTTTCTAGTTCTTTTTTCTTTCTTATGGTTATGTTCAGGCTGTGTTTTACAGTTTGAACACATCCTTTGTGTTCATTATTTCATTTGATTTTCATTATAACTGATGAGGCAGACAGGGAGGCATCACTTTTACTTTTCAAGGGAAGAAACTAACATCCAGAGAGGCAGAATGACTTGCTGGGGTCCGTTCAGCTTCTTTTGGGATATATTGCAAATGGAATCCCAATCTCCCAGCCAGTCTGGAGCGCTTTTCCAGAGCACAAGGCTTCTCTGAGTCAGGGTTGAGAAGCAAGACTTTGTCTGGTAAAAGGATATGTTTTCTTTTTCATATGGACTTTATTCAGTTCTCTCAAATTTGCCAAGGATTTCTCTCCAGCTTCTCTTCTAAACACCTTGTAGTTAAAGGAGCAGCTGGCTCACTGGCATAAGTCTTGGAGATCGGGGGTGCTGGGTCATGGTGGTGGCGATGATGGTGATGGTGGTGATGATGATGACAACCACTTTGTGACCCCACGGAAAGCTCAGATCTCCCCCAGGGTTCAGTCTGTCATCAGGAGAAATGCAGCCACTGACCTAGGATGCTCATCAGAATGCCTTGAGATTGTAACACAACGTTGGGTGCTGGAGACAGGGACTGTCCTACAGAGCTTTAGACGGGGACAAATGAATGGAAGGACAAAAGAGGAAGCACCCTGACCTCTGTGACTAGGACCTCTTCATGCAATAATAGCTCACATTACCAAGTGCGTTATATGTTTCCATTTAAGATTCTCATTGTTCATGCTGCTTTATAGGAAATCGATTGACTTTTGTGTATTAACTTTGTATCCTGCAATCATGCTATAATTGCTTATTAGCTCCAGGAGCTTTTTTGTTGATTTTTTGGGATTTTCTACAGAGGCAATCATGTTATCTGTACATATATATAAACACAGTGGTAATATCTAATCTGCATAAACAATGCTAAGAGATTGGCTTAATAATTATACTCATTTTATGGATGAGCTCACTAAAGTACAGAGAAGTTTATAATTTGATCAGGTCCATGCAGCTAAAAGGTGGGAGTGATGCAGGGGGTGTCCCAGTGAAGGGAGGAAAGCCCCCTGCACTTGCCAGGTGGGTTCTTGGCTTTGTGCAGGAAAGAATTCAAGTGTGAGCTAACTGGAGACAAAGTTTACTGAGACAGAGACAGACAACAGATCCCATCCCACAGAGCAGCAGTCCTCTCCTAAGCAGTAGGGGACCCCTTATGGGGCAATAGTAATGTTTTTATTTAATTAATTAATTAATTAATTAATTTATTTATTCATTCATTCATTCTTCATACAAATATTTTACAGTTTTATTTTTAAATCATTTACACATATTCATACAAAGAAAAATAAATTTCAGGATGTAACCTTGGGACCATGGTAGTTTAAAAAAAACATCTCTCTGATCATTAGCTACTCCAGACAAGGCAAGAGGCTTAGCAGTCATTTCTGGGGGTCAGCATATCTCCCCATGCAGGGGACAGGTGAGAAGAATCCAAGCTGCTCCCTTCTCATCATCTTCAATCTTCACCTTGTGTAGGTAATATTGGGGAAGAAGGTTTTTCAACACTCTCCCCTAGAAACATTTCAAGAAGTACAGCAAAGGCTTATAGTAACACTGAACTTTGCTAGAAATTTGGCAAGACTGCAATTTCTGAACCAACTTTCTAAAAGATTTAGCGCGATTCCTACTCACAGGTCTTTCTAAGAGAAGGAATTGCTACACTTACCACAGCCCTCTTCCCACTTGCTCTGTCCGCCCACCAAAGGACTCAGCACAGAGCCCTTGGTCTGATCCCAGCTAGTCCCCCTAGGCTCATTTCACAAATAAGTCTTCCTTCACCCACACCACTCTCTGTTGTAACAACTGACCCTGGCAGCTCCTGAGGACCGCTGATGTTACTAGCATTACCACATCAGCATTGTACTCACAGGGAATCAGAACTCACAGCCAAGAGAGGGCCAAGAATGACAGAACTCCAAGCACCACTACCAAAATTCAGCTCTGCTGAGCCAAATCAACATTTCCATCAAACAGGCCAGCTCCTGACACATCCCCTCCCAGAGAGTCATCAATGGAGGTACACAGAAGAACCTCTCACATACAACTGCCCAGGGAAGATGGACTATTACCCATTACCAGTAAAAGTGGGGGAAAGGACAGACATTACAAATGCGGTAGACCCTATCAGAAATGGCAGCTGATGACAACAGTTACCCTATATTGTTGGGTCCTACCCAAAAGCAGCACCAAGAAAGGGCATGATGAGCAGAGAGATCTGCAGCTGGATGTACAGCCCTTGAAACACCAAGGGACTTAGAGACAACACAGCTCGTTTTCCCACAATGATGTAGGAACTAGAACATGGACTACCCACCCCTACACTGAGGCAGCTCCTGAAAGGCCGTACCGCTTATGGTCATCAGCCCACCCCCTTGGTAGGCACATTTGGGGAGAGGGAGTCATGTCCAGAGTAGGGACCCCTCCAGACAGACACTCACAAGGCAGCCCATCCTACTGTCACTGGGGCAGGCCAAACATAGTTAGGAGGGTGGGCAGATCCCTGGCATCAGCCTCTCCATAGGCATCACTCTGGCCTAACATGGACAGGGCCAAACGCAGAGTGCTCCAGATGTTCTCTGACATGGCGCCCCCTTCTCCCCGAGGGCCCCGGCTTTTCCTCTGCATGTTCAAGGCCTCCAGGAAGTGTTCCACAGCTTCCCGGTGAGCCCCAAGGTTGATACAGCTGATGCCCAGGTTATAGCGGGACCCGATATAGCCAGGCTGTAGCTCAAGTGCCCGGTGGTATGCCACTACTGCTTCTTCACTCTGGTTTCCATTGGCCAGGGTGGCCCCTAGCTTATTCCATAGCAAATAGTCATTGGGACGAACGCTGAGGGCAGCTGTGAAACAGTCCACAGCCTTATCATACTCCCCACTCAGGTTGAAAAGGACTCCCAAGCCACACTGCACATCAGGGTCAATGGATGTAGGATCCAGGCGCACAGCCGCCAGGAAGAGTTCTTTCACTTCAAGAAACAGGGAGTCAGACAACAGAGACCCTAGGATACGCTTGCTGGAGCCCAGTCCTGCCCCACCAGCCCCTTCTTCAGCAGGCGTCACCAGATGGGCATAGGCCGGTGTATAGCGCAGCCAGTCTCGCAAGGTTTCACAGGCCTGTCGCTGCAGGGACTCGTTGGTGAAGCTCACAGCCAATGCCATCAGTGCCGTCCGATTATCTGGCTTTAGCTCCAAACACCTCCGCAATGCACTGATGGCTAACAGTTCTTGTTCGTTCTCTGCCTGGGTGGTACCCAGATACTGCCAAGCTTCCATGTGCTTAGGATCCTGCTGCACAGCCGCCTCAAAAAGCAGCACAGCATTTGGCAGGTCCCCTTCCTGAGGCCGCCGCAGCCCTTCTTCAAAAGGCTGAGGGTGATCACGCAAGGGGTTCTCTTCCTCAAACTGGTACCCCTTATCATAGGAAGCGGATGTGAGGTCGTCGTAGTCAGAAAGCCAGGGGTGTGCCTCAGCATCCCGTTTTGCCATCTCCTCCAACTCTGCCTGCAACTTGTCCCAGAAATCGACATCAGACTGCTGCTGTATAAACTCTGCTGCCCACTGTTCTGCCTGAGCTCGGCCCGACCCTGCACCGGACTCCAGGGACACCTGCCCCTCGCCAATCTGCCGCACGAATTTCAGGAACTCAGAATTAGCCAGTTTGGGGTCATCCACCTTGGCCACAAAGTCACTTGCCGTGTGCTGCAGATCCTCCTCAGGATGATATTCATCATACCAGCGATCAGTGGCAGCTGTTCCCTCAGGCTCTCCCAACCACAGCTTCTCCTCTGACTGTTCCAGATACTCTTCAGCCCAGTGGGCAGGGGATACAGACAAGGGGTCTGTAACTTCAGAGATGAATTCTTGGGACCAGTCAGTCTCATTATAATCCTGAGTTACATCCACAGCATCTCCTGCTGCAAGAAACTCCTGGGCCCAGTTCTCAGACAAGGCCAAGTCTGCCACACCAGGGGCTCTCTGGGGAGCCTGGCGGAAATTTGACTGTTCAATTTCCTGCATCTCTGCCAGGAGGTCATCCATCTTGAAAGTCTGAGGGGCACGAGATACAAGTGGTACATTCTGATCCTGCAGGAATTCAGCCACCAACTCATCTTCAGAAGCTACTCCCAAAGGCTTGGACACCGCTTCAGAAGCTGGGGTTCCAGGGGGCCAGGGGCCAGGCCTCAATCCCTCCTGCCGAAGGGCCTTGTCCTGGGTGAAGTGCCCGGCCAGCTTCATGAGCGGGTTGGCACCCCCGCATTCAGCCTCCACCAGCTCCCGCATTGCCATGGTGACCGCCAGCTCTCTCTGACGGAGTCCGAGGAGGGCTGGTACTGTCTCCTGCCAACCCCCTCGAAGCCCACGGCTTTCAGCCTGGGCCTCTCCACCGGCCTCCACGACTACAGTGTCAGGGGCGGGACGGGCCAGCAGCTGCCCCCACAAAGGGGCCTGGACCCCAGAGGACTACGGCGGGCCGCTTCAACAACCTGGCTGGACCGGGACACCGGCGGCAAGGGAGAGTGGGAACGCCGCCTGACTGGAAAGCCAGTCCTCCCGCAGCTCCACCAGCGGGGAGCACCGTGGGGCCACCCCCTCCCCTCGCTCACCTGAGCCCCTCCCCCTGTAATGTTTTTAATTGTTCAAAAACCCTGTTGGGAAACAGCTGTACTTGACCAACATTGTCTTGTGGTCAGGCCATAAAGGTTAATCATAAACTGCTGTCACTGAATGGTAAGTGCAGTTTTTAAGGTAACTGGTTTAGTAATTCATCTGTCTTCAGGTGGTCACAGGGCAGTAACTCGCTGGTGACTTCCTTGTTCAGGGTGGTTAGGGTCAGCTGTCAGTTAAAATGGCTGCACTCAGGCTCCCTGGGCCTTCCTTTTCTGCCTTTTCCCTACATTAGCAGAAGTACAAGTCAAACCCGGCGTTCTGTTTCCATGCTCACACTCTCAACCCATGTGACATTGCTTTGTAGGACTCACACTTGCCACCCTCTCACAGGCATAAGGGGACATGGCGCCAAAGTTTAATTAATGGCCCCCATTTTTCACCCCTCCTTGGATCCATGCCTTTGCTATATAACTTTGCAGTGCTCTCCCACTGCAGGCAGGATGTGCTTTTCTACTCTTTGATTTTGGGCCCTGTCATGTGACTTGTTTTGGGTGATAGAAAAAAGAGTGATGGTCTGCCAGCCCCAGGCCCAGGCCTTAGGAGAACTTGTGTGTTGTTGTTTGCTCCCTGTGCCACTGTCACTGCTAGGAGAAGGGCATGCCTGGGCTAGCCTGCTGGTCCCCAAGGCAGGAGCATGAGAGATCTGTGGGGCTGAGCTATGCCAGCTGGGCTGCCCCCACCAAGGACAGTCTGGGAGCAGATCCCCTGCTCCGCCCACATCCACTGGCCACAGATGGGCGAGTGACCCCAGCTGAGATAAACTGACCCTCAGACCAGTGCAAATAAATGTTGAGATTTTATAGTGTTTGTTACTCAGCAGAAGCTAACTGATACTTGTGGTAATTGTGGAAAGAGCCGAGCTTTGGAATCAAACGTGCTTTCAAATCACACCTGTACCAGTTATTCACTGTGTGATCCTGGGTGGGTTACTCAAACTCTTTGAATTTCAATTTTATCATCACAATGAGGGTAATAGTATCTATTGCTGAGGGACATTGTATTAATGAGATAAGTAGCAAGAGGGGCGAGGAGAGGATCTGGCCTGGCAGATGCTGGGCCCAAAGCAGAAGGCACTGCAGGACCATGGCAAGACTTAAACGTTTCTCTGCAAACTGGAGTATGGGGCTGTGTTCTGGGCAGAGGCTTAGATGATTTGGAAGGAAAGACAGTCATTGGAACTGGAGTATCAACTCTGTGTCAGAATCTATTGCAACAATAATGCTGTGTAACAAATCACCCTAAAATGCTGTGGCTTAAAACAAGAAGCATCAATTGTCACCCCTGAACCTGCTGGTCAGCTGGGAAGTTCTTTTGCTTTTGGACAGACTCATATTTCTGCAGTCAGCTGTGGGCTTGGTAGGAAGTCTGTGGATCTTGGATGGGCTCTGTGTCATGCTGTAGGCATGGGGGCTGTAGGCTATTTTCTCATCATGTAGCAGGCCAGCTTGGGTGTGATCTCAGGCTACCTGGGTATGTCCTCAAGGCATGGCAGAGGTGGGGGAGGGAGGAGGGGCTTGGACCCAGCACCCTGTCACTTCTGCCATGTTTTATTTGCCAAAGCACATCACAGTGCCAGCCCAGATACAAGCAGGTGAGGAAATAGATACCATCTTTAGGGGTGTGTGTGTGTGTGTGTGTGTGTGTGTGTGGAGTGGTGGGGACTGCAAAATCCCATTGCAAAGGGCACAGATACAGGAAGGCCATTAGTTTGAACCATCAGTACAGTCTACCACAGCTCTTAACTGGAAGGCCCAGTTACTAGGCATAGGAGGGAGGTCAGGACAGGAAGAGCAGTTAGGACATGTTGTTCCTGGGCCACCAACCATTGGTGCAGGCTCATATTTTTCTGGATCAGGTCTAGCATTGGAGTAGAGCTGGTAGAAGACAAGCATTCTGAGTTGAAGGTGCGGGAGCAATGTGGGGGGTGGAGCCTGGCATATTCCTGTCCAAGTAGAGCAGGAGCCACAGTGAAATAAAAGTGTCAGCGATGATGTGTAGGCAGCTGGGGGACAGCTCTTGGGTGATGAGAATGTCTGCCAACAAAACCGTGTGGTGGGCTATGGAATAGCTTGATAATCCCCCTCTCCCCACTCTGCCAATGTGCTTGCAACACAATCCATACAGGAAGTAGGTTTTCTCTTAAGAATGTGAAACTAATACATGAGAATCAAGGAAAATTGGTCTAATTCAGAAAAATGAAAAAATAAAAATAAAACAAATCACCTAGCTTTATCATCCAAAGACAATTGCTATTAACACCCTCATACATTTCTCTACCTTTTTCCCTCCTACGTGTATGTGTGTGTATATGTGCTTACATATATTATACCCAGTATAAATAAGCATTTTAGAAACCACAGTCTTTAAGGGGACCTGCATTTATGTTCTGTTTGTTTTTGCCACTTTAGAGAACATGATCTGGACTAAAATAATTTGATCCGTCCATATATATTTATCTAGAACTGGTAAGGTTTTGCTTTCTGTGTTCAAAGGTAAAAACAACAAAACAACTTAACCCAAATTCTAGACTCGGAGATATACAAAATTGAGCCATGACATCCGCAGCATAAACACACACCAAACAGTAGATTCCAACCTTGATCTCTAGTTCTGCACACTAAAGACTTGGTGTGAGCTCTTGACCAGCGTGGCTGGGAGGCTGTCCAGTTCCGGTCTGGCTGGTGTCTGCGTGTTTGAGGTGTATGCAGGCTCCTCTGGGAGTTCCACATTGCCCAGTGGTAGAATGTCAGGCTCAAGTTCTCAGGTCTTCTAACTGATGTGAGATCGTTCTCAGTCACTGCTCAGGTACTTGCTCCAAGTTCGCGTTATGAGTTGAATCTTCATCAGCTGGTTTCCGTGGACAGTGTTGCTCCTTCACTGTGTCTCTAATGTGCTGTCCCTCTGTATTCCCTGTTGTTGGGGATGTTTGTGTGTGGCTGGAGTTCTGCTTCTCTCTGCTTCTCAGCCCCTGTCTCTTTTCATGCCTTGGCTGACCTGAGCTTGCATTTTCGGTGTGGGGTCAGGGAGAGAGAAAGGGCAGACAGGCTGTATCATAGAATGCACACTTAAAATCCACGTGCTACCAGAGCTGCTTTCAGCTTGGGTTTCGACAGCACACCGACCCCACCCTTTTGAATGATCCCAGTGCTTCCTGCATAGCACCAATAAGCACTTCCCACGATGCAGCACATAGCATTCTGCCTAATTATTTGCCAGAATTTGTCTTCAGATGACAAAGGCACAATTTATTTCACATATTTGTGTTCATATTGCCCTTAAGTCTTGAAATCCTATTTCACTTAACATTATTTTAGCAATATTTCCCCGAGCTCTTACATATTCCAAGAAATTGTCCTTTGTGATGGCTACATAGTATTCCATCACACAAAACATTTAAAAACATTTATTCCCTTATCATTGAATATTTAGGTTGTTCTTAATATTACTAGAGTATATTATGAACACTTACACATAAAGCTTTTATTATATCTTTCTTTCCAAATTTAGAATTACTTCCTTGGGATAGATTTCCAGAAAGGACTATTCAGAACCATAAAGGTGTGGTCATTTAAAAAAGACTTCTGAAACAGTCCTCTAAATTACTCTCCCAAAGGGTGCAACCATTGAGCCTCCCACCCGCCACGGATCAGAGCGCCAGGTCACTGCCAAGAGGTAGCGCTTTCAGTGGTTTCTTTGAACAGTGGAAGAGAATAAACCCAGTGAGCTTCAAAGGTGTTTCAGATAAAAGGCATGATCTGAAAATGGATATCAAGGAGAGGGGGGACAGCTGGCAGACCCGGTAGCCAGGGGTTTGGCTGGGGAAGCGGATGCCACTAAGCACAGGGAAGGACCCTGTGGATGTCACAGGATCTCGGATGTTCCGCTCTACCAGGTTCAAAGTGGTTCCTGGAAACTCTTTCTTTGTTTTCAAGGGCCAGCTCAATTGCACCCTCCTCTGTGAAGCCTTCCTGGGCTCCAGGGTGGAGTTGGGGTGGGGACTCCTTCTTTCGTGCTCCATGATACTCTGAATGTTGTTATCCGTGTCGTGGTACTTCTCACATGGTGCTACATCTGAGCTTGGGTTCCCACTAGCCCAGGTGCTAACCTAGGCAGCAACCCGATCTATGTTCTCCTCCCTAGTATGCCGCCACCATGGCATACACAAGCATCCTTTTCTGTCTCCCTGCTTCACCCCGGGCACTAGGAAATTCTTGTTTGCGACTTCTACCTAATTCTGTAGCGCCAATTGTCTTTCTTGGCTATGCACAATCTGTTCTACTCTCAGCCCCTTTCTAGAGATTTTTTTTCCCTTAGTCTCTTCCCTTCAACCCAAAGTCACTTACATACCTTATCCTCAGGTACTTCTTACCCATTTCCGTGCACAGGCTGCTTCCAGCTTTCTATAATGACTAATATCTTCTGAAATCTTAAGCAGAGAAGGGTAGCTGGGGTCTCTTTCTAAAAGTGTGGATCTGTGGAAGCCAGAGACTCTGTAACCTGGTGAACAGGTTACCATAAACGCATGAACAAATCAGGGCTAAGGGACAATTAGGATAGGAAAAACAAGTACAACTAAGATTAGTACATTAATCTCCTGCTGCAAGGTCCTATGCAATTGGTAGAAGTGCGTTGAATATTGGCCTTGAGCTCCCTGGTAGCCAAGATAAAAAGGGAAAATGTGATTAGTTTGTAATATATTCATAGCTCATGGGTTCAAAACAAAATAATTTGTCAGTGGAAGCCTAGATTTTCTCCTGACAAAATAATTTGTCAGTAGAAGCCTAGATTTGTACAGAGAACAGAATAAAAATGTCTCCCTTGTGTACTCATCAAGAGGACCCTGTCTGATGTAGTGGAAAATATTCTGAACAAAAATTATTGTATGAAAATATGCTTGCTTTGC